TGCCCCAGGTGTGTCACAATAAAGCAAACGCACTTAAACCAGCCCTGCGGATGAACGCTTAATACGTACCTGCCCATAAAAACCGGCTGGCCAGCCCACTGCATAAATCAGGTGACACTACTTTCTGGTGAGTGATAAAACAGAAACAAAAAACTTAAGATACTTCTGGACTTCCTTGATGCAAATCATGTGTGGTTCTAGACACACAGTTACCAGTAAGATTAATTTCTGAGTAACATTTTCAGCGATCATGCCAGTGGTTCAGCTAAACAACGTGGGCAAAAGTAAATTTGCTGCCTGAAGAAACCTACCGAGCTGTATTTCAGGAGTAAAGGTCATGTCACACTGACAGAAAATCTTTGTGGCTATTAAGACTCAAGAGGACAGAGAGCTAAGTACAAGTTACAGTTTGAACTGCAGATAACACTGATATGTTTGACTTCAACAGATAAAGTCTTGCAAGATTTGTGGGAGAAACATCAGTGAGGAAAAAATTTCAACTCCAAGCCAACAAGAGTATCGGCCACAGTAATAATTAGGAGAGCAAATGAATGAACAGAACTCCCAAAAGGTATTCGAAAAATATATTCCTTTGCCAGTTAGGCGCTGCAGGCATATGTTTTGAATTTTCTACCATTTTATTTGTAGAAAGATTTGGAAACAGGATTATCCTATTGAAATATAATGCTGGGTTGAGAAAAGTCCACTTCAAAAGGGAATAGTTAGCTGGGAGAAAAGGGTTTCATCCGGTCAGTGGTCTGGGTAGCCCGATCTGGGGAGTGAGTAGCTGACTTCCTGAACGTAACTGGAGGACTCTGGCCAGGTCACTGGGCTGCAGATGGCAGAGGCCAGCGGAGCAAGAGCTCAGAGACTCCTAGATTTCTTCACAGGGGGCCTATGACCCCAGCAAATGTGGTCCAGATCCCAGAGCATTTTACTCTGGATGGGAAATGAAATATTGCAAATGTGTCCTTGACAAAACATTTTCCTCTTCTGAATCATGAAAAACTAACTCAAACCAACCACTGCAACGCAGCAATAAAAGGCTCTGAGCCGGCTGCATCTAGCCAGCCGGGGCCTGGCTGGGGAAGTGACCTCTGCCCTCCCGGGATGGGGACGCTCCCATCCTGACTCTGAGCCAGGTCCAGGCAGGAGTGCACTGGGGCTGTGGGAAGTATGTCAGTCCGGCAGAACCAGGGCTCTTGAGTCAGCACCTCACAATAGCAGGACATCGTTGAATACTTTGTAGATGAGAGAATTGGGGGGCAGATGAGGACCTCCGCTCTCCAGGGCACAGCCCGAGCTCTAGACGAGCAGAACTGCCGGCAGCTCCCTGGAATGGCCCCCTCCTCTTCCTGTGCACCTTGACCCCTGCTGTTCTGTATGGAGGAAATGCCCTTCCTCTTCCACCCCTGGTAAGGACCATTCCAGGGCAGCCGCATCCCGGATGCCTTCCTGGTTGGCTCCACCCCACCCCCAGGTGAGCCTTCCCCAACATTCTCCACCACATCCTAGGCCTTACACAGCCCAGGCACTGCACAAGCAGCATGCTACTGCACGTGACATATTACACGGACCTGCTAATTGGCTCTGCTGGAGGACAACGTACACCCACGCGGTGGGCACAGGACTGTCTCCACTTTGCAGATGAGGCACAAAGTTGAGTAATCTGCTGAAGGTCATCCTGCTAGTAAATGGTCTGTTCATTGCCTGCAGGAGGCACAAAGTAGCCCCCCAAAAGTCTATGTCCTAATCCTTGGAACCTGTGAATATGTGACCTTACACAGCAAAAGGGACTTCGAAGATGCCACTAAGGACCTTGAGGTGGGGAGATGGTCCTGGAAGAGCTGAGCAGGTCCAATATAGTCACAAGGGTCCTTATAAGAGGCAGGCAGGAGGGTCAGGGCCAGAGAAGGAGATTTGACTACAGAAGCAGAAGGCAGAGAGAGACAGAAACTGGAAGATGCGGTGCCACTGGCCTTCAGGGAGGAGGAAGGGGCCACGAGCCAAGGAACTGCAGGCAGCCTCTCCAAGCTGGGAGAGGCAAGGAAGCAGGCTCTCCCCAGAGCCTCCAAAGGTAATGCTCCCTGTTAGCATCTTGATTTTAGGACTTCTGACCCCAGGAACTGTAAGATGATAAACGTGTGGTGTAAGCCACTGAGTTTGTGGTGCTGCTAGAGCAGCCCCAGGAGACTCCTGCAGTGCCCTGGAACCGGGCAGCGAGGCAGCCACACGGATTTGGAAGGAAAGGGACACACCGTATTTGCCAAGGGGGCGATCGAAGGCCTGCTAAGAAGCACCCCATACAGAGGGCCACGGCTGGTTCTGGCCCACAGCTCTCTGCTCTCCTGAGGACGTCTGTGTTAGACTGACCCCAGGAAGTCATGAGCCTGGGGGGGGGCTCCCTAAACTTGGTCCCCAAGCTTGTCATTGCCAGAAGCCCTGAGCATCCCTGATATCTCTGTGCAGTGCCCTCCTCAGGCCAAGACCGCCATTGCCTGGACAAAGGCCTCCTCAGTCACCGGGTGAGGGTGGGAGGAGAGAGACTAGCAGGCCAGGAGCCCCGGGGAGGCAGCCTTGCTCAGGAGGTGGTGCTGGTCCCCAGAAGTCAGGCCTCAGGTCCCCACTCTTGCTCACAAGGATGTTGAGGGTTCCAAGCAAGTAACTGTTCCTGCTCTTCCTTTTGAAACGCTCAGCCTGTGAGTCATGCTGTCAGTTTGTCCGCCTGTCTGGCCCTCTTTCTGGTCAGGCAGCTCGAGAAGGAATAATCCGATGAGATAATAAATACCAGCCTTGGTCATCATGAATCAGAGGCTCACAGCCAGCTGAGTCACTCAATGGCGGTGGCTCAGAGAGAGCTGTGGGGCTCCATCTGACCTCACTCTGGAACTGGGGCCAGGCGGCATAATACAGCAGGGCACTGAGGGCCGCATTTCACTCCAAAAGCTCCGAGTGCTGTGTGTGCTCTGGCCACAGAACACTCTTGGACGGGAGGCTTATAACGTCTCTTGTAACGCAAGAAGGGGAGATTACCGAGTCCGGAGGAAGGCTGGGAAGCGATGGTCACTAGGGATGCGTTCGGCCATGAAGATCTGGCTTTCAGCAATAGCCACTGTCCCAAAGTGACCCCACTTGGCTAAAAGGTCTCTGAAGTCACTAAACCATTCCAAGCCCATACACTCACGTGACACGTGTATAGCGAGTGCCTACTTCGTGTTTGTCATCGTAAGGCATCTGCCTGACTTGAAGCCACAAGCCCCACCGGGCCTGGGGGCCCTCCTGCCCGCAGAGGGAAGAGGCCAGGGCTGGGGGCTGGGCAGGGTCCAAAGAGGAAGCACTGAGGACCGAAGGCCCCCTCTTTCCACCTGCCCAAGCCCATCAGTGAAGCCTGCGGCGTCGGAAGAAAGCTCCTCGGAGAGCGAGATGAACGGAGCCCACGGGAGCCGCTTGTGGCCGCGTCCCAGCCCGTCGGTCTTCTCCCTCAGCAGGTCCAAGCACACGGGCACTCGGGCTCGCGGCGGAGAGGGCAGTGGGCTTGGCGGGGCCCAGCCCCAAGAGACAGCTGCCTCGCTCCCCGCGCCTGGGCCGCTGCCTCCGCTGATCGCACTGAAAGCCGGAGCTCTGACGGTTAGTCATTGTTTTCTGCCCTCATTTCCTTCCCTCCTCACTCCTAAAACCAAAACCTTACCATAAAAGTCTGACAAAGGCCCGTAATGGATTTCTCTCCCCCACAGAGCCTGCGCTTGCCTGGCCCTCTGTCTGGGCCTGGCTGGCCACGGGGGCCTTGCCACAGCTGGGGCCTTGGGCCAGAACTGAGGTCACCCTGCAGCCGGCAGGAGGAGGGAGAAGGACGACAAGATAGTTTGGGCCACGGTCTTGGAAAAGACTCTCCGTGCGAGTCACAGCCTGAATCCCGACGCAGGAGACTAGCAGCGAGTCCTGGGGTGGTGCGCGCACGCCCTGGGCTGCCCCCCAGGCCGCGGGTCTCTGGCCCCAGGAGATGGGACAACGCAGGACAGAGGCACACAGGCACTGATTCTCTCCCCTTTCACATCTGAGTATCCATTTAACTCCAGAGCTCCCGTGGGACTTTCGTTCAAGACCTGACTCTATGGGGTGTCGGCACAGGGTGGCAATTACACGTGGGCTTGGGGTCACAACCACCTAGGCTCAACTCCCAGACTCACGACCTTGGGAAATAACTTCCGGCCTCTGAGTCTGAGCTTCGCTTCCCAAGCTCAAGTTGTTGTCTCTACCTCAGGGGTCGTGGGAGGCTTAGAAGGGCCAAACCGTCCCGAGCCCCGGGCCCAGCAGCCCACACGCAGGAAGTGGTGAGCGCCCTCTGAGTGACCCAGCCATGCAGCAGCCGCTTCCGCCCACCTTCCCGCCTGCGCGCTTTTTCTGGGACACACAGTCTGTCACTCGGCCCTCAGAACCCAAAAGGCACTCAACGCCCTTAAACACCTGTCTCCGTGTTCCTCCCCGGGGCTCCGGTGCCCAGGCCTCCCATGCCAGCCGGCCCTCCCCACCACAACTCATGCATCATGTCTGCTCCGGGCCTTCCCGATTTGGCCCTCCAGCTGCAGTGGCGTTCTCTCTGGGCCCTTGGTTGGGGTCCTCACTTGGGCGCTAAGAAGTATGTACATAATGAGGGTGCTGGTGGGAAGTTCTGCTGTCTGTCTGCCTAACTAGCTTCTAAGCTGTCCGGGGGTAGGGGTCCTGGCTGATTGGTCCCTGTTACCCCATGTGTACACAGTAGGTGCTCACATATCTCTCACTGGACCACAGTGAATGAGTCAGGGTGGGCTCCAGGCAGCACCCACTTCTGTGTGCTCATTGCCCAGCACAGCCCCAGCCCTATCAGGGAGCCCGTCGCTCCAAATGAACAGAAGAAGGTTTTCAGACAGCAAGCGCCGGGAGGGAGGCTTACGGAGATGCTTACAGAGACAGAGAGCTCCCCGGGCCCAGCCCTCTCCACCGAGGTGCTGGTGGCCACGTACCTGGTCCCCAGAGGGTGACGCACTGCTGCTCGTGGGTCTGGCAGATGCCGTTGTAGCAGTAGCCGTCCACCCCCTGACACGGGTGCCCGTCGTGCAGATACACGTTGGCCGGGCAGTGAGGACTGGCCCCCGTGCAGAACTCCGGGAGGTCGCAGGAGTTGCTGGGCTCCCTGCAGGCTGTTCCCGCAGGTTTCAGCTGAAAGGAGAGGGCCGTTTATCACACGTGACTGCGGGGCGGGGGGAAGCAGGGGCTCGGCAACGCCCCCGGGGGTGGAGGGGCGCAGGCCCGTCCCCATACAGTCTCACGTAGAGGGCGAGGGTTTCAAAGGAGTTCCCTTTACCGCAGAGAGAGCTCATTAGATAAACGGATTCTCGCTCTGGACTCTGGGGTTCACTTTTCCATTATGGGGGACAACCAAGAGCAACTTCTTTTTAATTTCATGCACCATTAGGGTTTCTGGTGAGTGTTCAAGCTGGTGGCTGGCACCTGTCACCTCAGAGGAGGTAGGGAGGGGAGTGCTTGCTGCCCGATGGAGTCACTGATCCTTAAGAACAAGGTCTCTGGTCACCAACACCATCGCGTGCCTTAGGATGATGTCTGCACTCACAGTGTTAGCCTCTGTGGGCAAGCTGACAAAAGTAACTCCAAGAGCACACTCACGACAGCAACTGTACTTTTTCATCAAATCACAGAGCTGGAAAGCTGTCCCCATAGGGGCAGGTAGAGAAGAAATCAAGTCGTATGGGATGTTAGGAACCATCCGACAGAGCTTCATCTTTCTGTGGTTCTAGAACTGAGCTCAGAATGGCAGGCCTGAGGTCACACAGGCACCTTCCACCACGAGCGGCGGGGGTGCCAGGGGTGCCAGTTCCTTTTAACATTCCCCATAAGTTAACTGCAGGTAGGAAGGGGAGGAAGGCTAGTTTAAGTTGAATGTAAGACATGGTAACGCAGTTCTGAAACACTGCACTCCAGCTGGGTCACTAAGGGGAAATTTCCTGCAAACAGAGTGCCAAGATCAATGGCTTAATTGCAAAACTCTGCCCTCAGAACCTCTGAATCAAAAGCTCAGGCTTTTCCCCTGTCAGATCCCGGCTCTGAAGAATGAGACAAACAATGGAATTGCCAGGACAAATGCAGTCAAGGAGGCAGAAATGGCCAAAGGATAAAACTGCCCCGCTTGGCTGGGCTGGGTCGACCGGCACCTTCTGTTGGGGGCACAGCCCAATCAAGACCCCGACACAAAATCCCCGGAACAGCCCACACGGCTCCTCACCAGCCGGCAGAAGTTTTTGGGGTCGAGCAGAGGGACCCGGCGTGAGGCTGGGGGACATGAGTTGGGACTGGTTTTCGAAATGTTCCTCCAATTGCACAACCCGGGACATTTAATGTGGTGCTTGAGTATTTTAATCCAATACTTGTGGGTCCATAAATAAATAATTGATTGCAGATGGTCCAGGATGAAGGTGCGCATTTCACACGGAGATCGGAAGGTCATAAACACAGGCGGCGGATGTCGATACCAGCTTGAGGGGAGAGCGTT